TATTTAAGCGCCATTTTGGTCAAATCGGTAGGGATTATTTTCATCATTTATTAGATATCGTTCAAAAAAAATATGTTCAACGTACTGTTTCAGTTACATCGGTAATGAAAAGTCTTTTGAATATACTGGAAATATGTAGATGTAACACACGGTTCCATTTTGCAATACTTAGTTTGGATTCTTACATTGTGTGTCAAGAAATATCCCAGCTTTTTACCTAGAATATATGAAGGGCCATAAGTAGCGAAGAACTCGCCCAATTTGTCACTTTTTACTAAGCCACGAAGGAGATTGACAGCTTCCGAGCACTGGTACACGAAATATAAGAAAACATCTATGCGGTACATACACGCCGCTGGCTTGACGTTCTCTCCTGAAATATGTATCCGTCCCTGGAGAATTTTTGTATTAAATTTGTTATTAAATTTTCAAACCGTATTTCACATTTTCCAAGTGGACTTGGAATCCGGAACATTTTAATTGGGAAATATCTGTTCTAATATAAAAAATAATCGGTTATTGATTGAAATATACTGTGAGGTAATTTAAAATTGCAAAATTTACAGATTTCGGGGATTAATATCAAAATTACTAGACGATCAAAGAAAACAACTTCTGCGACTATTATATCTAGTACACTTAATTAATTGGGTCATATACTTTATAACTTATTGTACAGTGTGTCCGGAAGTGCCATACTTCCAAGGATAGTTTCCTTGAATGACAAAAAACCGATTCAAATCGAATTACCTTCATATGGACTTCGTATTTTTTTTAAATTCCATTTTTCAAAATAATACAAAATATTAAATTTGGAACAGAACAGATTTTGAAGCAGCTGAAGGTGAACAAGCATTAGGTATACCGGTTTATTATAAAAAATGACTTTATACAAAATACCTGCATTTCAGGGTCATTCTTAGTAACTTCTATGTTTTAGTTAAAAAATAAGCCTTTATTTATTCTCGGCTTTCCCTAAAATCTCACTACACCAAATTTTATTGAAACATTTAAAAAACGCACAAAGTTGTTAAAAAATGAATTAAATCTTATTATTTGAATGCTCTTAACTTTCTAAAGGAGCAAAATTGTACGAGCGCTATATTAATATGATCGAAATCGCCTTAAGAAAAGAATATTAATTTCATGGAGTACTGTGATATAAAATTCCTCGACTGCTACAACAAAATAAATTGAAAATATTTTAAATCGCTTCTGTACACTAAGGACGAAAATGGTAAATAAAATTCACGATAAGTAATAAGTAAGTCACGATAGTAAAATATAGCGGGTATATTTTAAATCTATGTCGTAAGTTCAAGAACGTGTTCTTTGAATTATTTTAGGTCAAAAATTCTGAATGAACCAAGTTACTAAATCCACTGCCACAGCCACTTTACTTTATTTTAAAGTCATTAAGTTAATTCAAATGAATAAAGAATAATAAAAATTTACTAAAATCTCTGAAGATATTTTACTGAAATTAATTAAACTTAGGCTAGTGGTTTAACTGATTAAAATAAAACATTGGCTGAATTAGTATATGCATATGTAAATCAGTGGCGTAGAAATCGAGAGGCAGTCATTGAAAATCAAAGAGTCGTTACGCCTCTACAACATATGGTCGGAATAAATCAACTGTGAAGAGATTAATTGAAAAATTCAGGGAGACTGGATCAATTAGTGATCTTAAACACTCTGGCCGAGTGTTGCTGAGAATCCAGGAACATCAATTCGGCACTGTAGTCAAGATTTGGACATGTCGAGAAGCTTTCTACAGTGTATTCTCACGAAAGACTTGCCTACATCTTTATAATCCATTTTTTTGTGCCTAAATTGCAAGATATGTATGTAGACGAGATGTGGTTTCAACAACACGGTGCCACATGCCATACAACCTGAAAAACAGTTCAATTACTGCATGAGTCATTAGCTGGTCGTGTAATTTCCCGTTTTGGTGATCTGAGTTAGCCGCCCAGATCATACTGTTCTACTTTTTTCTTTGGGTTTTTTTTTTTCAAAGTCTAAGGTTTCTGCCGACAAGTCCACGACCACCCACGCCTTGAAGGAGGAAATTGAGCACTGTATCAACGAAAATTAGCCGCATTTATACAAAACTATAATGGAAAACTTGAACAAAAGACTGCGTATGCGCCATAGAGGCCATTTACCCAATACGCTATTCCATACATATCCCTATACTGGTATGCTTTATGAATCAGTAGAAAATTTACAACTTTGAATTAAAAAGCTGTGTTTTCTATCAAAATTACTACTTGCTTGAATTTTGGGACACCCTTTGTATGTAGGAATGTAATGTAATAATAAAAAATATAACGGGAATGATTTTTTAATTTTTTAATGATTTAGGTACATTTTATTTAAAATTGTATTTGGAACAAAAAACTCCTTAAATATGTTTTTCTGAAACAAATAAATTTCCCTTTATTTATTTATATGATGGAGCATTTAAAATAATAATAATTCGAAATGACACGTGATAGATTATTTTTTTTCTATGAAATACAATGCGAATTAAATGAACTTTCCAGAAAACTCAGTTTTCAGTGACACTGCTTCTCAGCAACTCTGCCACCGGTTGATATATTTGTACACTAATGCAGCAAAGTTTTGCCTTTAATTAGTTAAACAATTAGTCAGTTTACATAAAGCATCTTCAGATATATTTATGTATTTCTTTAAATATGAACACTCTGCCCCTTGGAAAGGAGTGAGCTTTAAATCTGTAATAAATTATGGTCGAGGAAGTGAAACACTGAACCTCCGAAATCTGTGCAGTAAGATGGATTGTGATGTGTTTTTTTGCATTCGATTCGTTAGAGCGTCCAGAAAGTTTGTGACCCTATGTGATCAATGAAAATTGAAAATTGCATCGGTGCATAAGAAAAATGCATTTTTAAAATTGCATCGATATTTTCCGAGTTAAAATATGAAAAATTTATAACTCGGAAAATATCGACGGAAATGAGTTCATTTTTGGGGGGGGGGGTGTGAGGGAGGTTTGGGGGGGTCGCTGAATACGAATATCATGACGGCAACGGTCTCCGAGGTACCTAGTGCCCAGGGTGGCTGGTTTCCACGTCGTCTCGTGAAGTTTTATGGAAATTCGTTATAAACTTAGCCGAAACTCGTTACCTCGGGGTTTTTGAGGTCGCTCAACGCGAATATCACGACGGTAACGGTCCTCGAGGTACCTAGTATCTAGGATGGCTGGTTTCTGTGACAACTATTTTATTCTTAATTATTTTTTATAATAAAAATGCATTTATTCATTACAAAAAATACATGTTTTCAAAAAAAATATTGTTCTTAGATATCTTTACAATTATTTTAATTTCATTATTATCTTCTTCATATTCTTCATCTAGTGTTTCTAGTTCCGAAGAAAATATGTCATTTGCAGAATATTTTTCATTATTCGTGCAATTAATGCCTGCACAATTTTTGCACGCGATGCTGCAGTTCAATTCGTGCTTCCTACATCCACACGAAGTTCCATAATCGGATTTGCACCCACAGAAAATCATATTCATGATACTTGGTAGACCAGGTAACTGAGTCATTTTTATAGGAACTAAGGTTTGTTCTTTTAGTTCCCATCCCCAGTCGGTCGGACTCAAACCATATAGCCAGTTTTGCACTTATGCTATTTTCAAGAAAAAACACGTGTGCGCTATAACTTGGAGCGTATCTGTATATACTAGTATGTTAAGAGTATATATGTAAGAGTAAAACGTGGAAGCAGCGGCTAGCGATCGCAGTCCTTACCTAAAATTTCATCAATTCTACCAACTGTATTAAAAGCGCTAAATTTAAAAAAAAAGAGTTTCGGATAATTTATTTAGATATTCGATAAAGCTTATGAAGATGATATAGGTACCGCGGAGACCATTGCCGTTGTGATATTCGTGTTGAACGACCCCAAAAACCTCGAGGTAACGAGTTTCGGTTTATAACGAATTTCCACAAAACTCCAGGAGACGACGTGGAAACCGGACACCCTGGACACTGTACCTCGGAGACTATTGCCGCCGTGATATTCGTGTTCAGCGACCCCAAAAACCCCCAAGTAGCAAAATTTAACTCATTTCCGTCAATATTTTCCAAGATATAAATTTTTCGTTTTTTAACTCTTCTGGATGCAATTCTAAAAATGCATTTTTCTTATGCACCGATACAATTTTCATTTATCGTTGATCACATAGGGTTACAAATTTTCTGGACGCTCTAACGAATCGAATGCAAAAAAACTGCAACACGATCCATCTCACTACACAGATTTCGGAGGTAAGGCCGTTTTTATTGCTTTAATTCCTCGACATTTTGGCTTAATGTGATTTGAAGAACACTCTCTCGAAGTAATGACATGAACATAAAAACAACTCGAATGGACAAATGAAAAAGAAGAACAAAAATAGATATGAACACATTTTCCTATTATATTATAAAAAAATGTTTAAATGAGTGATAAAAGAATTTAATACGTATAAGCAAACAAAATTATTACACTTGAATTTCTTTTGTTAAAATTATTTTTTTGTTATTTCTAATGTAAATACAGATATATCGCATCCAACATTCTTAACTTAAAAGCACTTACGCTTTAAAACTAGTCGGAACAAAATATACCAAATTGAAGTTCCTTGGCATTTCTGTATTTAACTTGAACCTCTGAAAATCTTCAGCGACTAAAATAACAGCTTTGCAGAGCACATAAGTTAACCTAAACTTACGTTTCGTAAGGACAATATGCATATACAATTTGCTAACACAACATTTCACCTAGATAACATTAGAACATTTGCATGGCTGACGTGCCTTACTTTGCTGCTTGTATTTCTTTGATGCCTCTTTAGTTATTCCCTGGCATACTTTATTTTCCCATGTCGTTAAGGTAGGTTTGTGTTACGTACATGTAAATTGAATAACGCTTCATCCTGCGAGGCCTCCTGAATAGGCTCATTTGCATTAATTTGCAGGTACATCCCTGCGGAAGGTACAGGCACAACACCGTAGTATTTATACTTGCCAAAGAATATAACCTGAAAAACCTGAGAACGATCCACCGACTGGATCGACTGACCAGCGGCTTGCTACTTTTCGGCAGGTCGCCGAAGAAGGCGAGACAGATGGAACACCAAATCAGGAACCGCCTTGTATCTAAGGAGTACGTTTGTAGAGTAGAAGGAGAATTTCCCGAGTAAGTAACTTTTTAGTGCATCTATCCACTAGCGGGATAAGCTTTGGACACATTATTAGCACGTGACGTTTTAACATGTGTCAACAAGTCATAGCAGAAAAAAGCTCATAGTACGTTCGTAGCATAGTCTCCTATGCATGTACGAATTATTTAAGATATTTGTACTCATTTTTATCAGCTGATAGCAATGGGAACACCGTTACTCAAGTTAGTTGTTGCATTTCTTCTTCGTCCAATCATAGCCATTCACAAGATCGATAGTTAAAAACTTCAGATATCTACCTATGGTTTACACAAATACATTCGAAACGGCTATTTCTTCGCTCGTGTTGTGATGTGACCGTTGACCGTCACGTGTTGGTAATGTGCCTCAAGCTTAATATGTAAATAATGTATCAACAAGTCAGGCCATAGCAGTCACAATGAATGCCCACCAAGGTTTTTGCTAATTTGTAATTACGAATCTTGGATGGAAAAGGAGGAGCATTGTTAGTTGTTAGTGTAGCACTGTTTGCTGTTGAATTAGAAAACGGAAGTGCGATTCAATTTGATGAATCCATTCAGTTGATTCAGTGCTTTAAAAAGATTCGTTCATTAATGATTTACGATTCACGTAAACGACATATTTCACGTGAATCCATACACTACTCAAGTTATTGGCACAAAGACAACATAAAATTTTCTTACCTGTTCAAAATCAGTGTTTCCATGTCTGCAATATATTTAATAAAATTGCTGGCTAATTCACTTTGATAGCTGTCTAGAAATGCTAATCGCGTGTTGTGTCTTGTTTTAGCATTCTTGACCTTGGATTCAGTATATCTTGGCCTTCTGATGAGTCAGAATACATAAAAATTATACAGGGATGGCCAGAAGTACGGAATAAAATTCATAACTTTTGAATGAGTTAATTTTTTTTTAAACGCCGAAACACGTTAACTGATTTTAATTTTTTCCCATATTTCGGCTATATAATAATTAATTTGTCTTCAACCCCCTAACCCCCAGCTACCCCTACTTTTTTTTCAAATGGAAACATAAGGCATGAGGGGGCTCGTTGAAAAGCTTATAGAAAACCGAATCCAGCCATACCAAATAAACAAGTTTTATTTTTTCAATAGCAAGGTTTTTAGGGTTGTATAAAACACCTATTGGAGTTCGAAACGTTACTATTGTGTCAATATCAAGTTATTTACTGGAGACAAAATAAGAAGTCAGGCTGAAGTGCGCGATTTATTTAATGCGAAATATCCCGAAAACCAAATCTCGCAAGGGACAGTTAGTAAAATATTTCACAAATTTGAGGAACACGGTACAGTACAGACTTTGCCCAAAACTGGACGGGCGCGTGCTTTGAATGAAGAAAAGAAATTAGACATTGCATTAGAACTTGTTGAAAATCCATACTTCAACTGTTTCATTGGCCCGTCTTGTCGAAGAGCTTTTGGAAGACGATTATGATAGGCGATTACAATTTTGTGAGGAAATGATGAGACGGTGTGACGACAATAATGGTTTTCAATAAGACATACTTTTTTCGGATGAAGCTACATTTTATTTAAATGGAGTGGTTAACAGGCACAACTATCGCTTTTGGTCCCAGGAAAATCCACACTGGACATGCGAATTGCATACGCAGCATTCACAAAAAGTTAATTTATGGACAGGTATCATCAACTACAGAATCTTAGGCCCATTTTTTTTTGAAGAAAATCTTACTGCCGCACGCTACCTGGATTTCCTAACATTTGACGTGATACACGCCCTAGCTGTGATTTTCCCTGATGAATTTGATCCAGATATACCGAATGAAAGAACTTGGTTCCAACAAGATGGCGCTCCCCCACATTTTGGTATTGATGTTCGAAGATACTTAGATGAAATGTTTCCAAATCGCTGGATTGGTAGACGGGGTACAGTTGAATGGCCGCCAAGATCCCCCGACTTAACACCCCTGGATTATTTTCTTTGGGGATATTTGAAAGAAAGAGTCTACCAGGACAGACCGGATAATATTGAGAATTTAAAGAACAAGATTAGGGCGGAGATGCATAATTTACCAGCTGAAGTCATTCAGAATGCTGTGGACAGCTTTTACTATCGTCTTGGAGAATGCCAAATAGTGAATGGAGGACATTTTCAGCATTTGCGACATTGAGTTTATTTTTGTAAATTATCTAGTTGTTTCAATTTCCAGATGAAAAAAACTTGTTATTGAAAAAATAAATCTTGTTTATTTGGTATGGCTGGATTCGGTTTTCTATAAGCTTTTCAACGAGCCCCCATGCCTTATGTTTCCATTTGAAAAAAAAGTAGGGGTAGCTGGGGGTTAGGGGGTTGAAGAAAAATTAATTATTATATAACCGAAAGATGGGAAAAAATCAAAATCAGTTAACGTGTTTCGGCATTTTAAAAAAAATTTATTCATTCAAAATATATGAATTTTATTCCGTACTTCTGGCCATCCCTGTATGAGTATTTATCTTAAAGATAATATAATAAATATTTTTCCAACCAAGTTAACGTGGCCATATTCCTGGCCGAGAAATAGTGAAATTTCTGGCGTTTTTAGGTACTGAAATCTATAAAAGTAAAACGTGTAGAACAAAAGTAAGCACAAAAATAAAATCCTTGATGTTTTGTTTATTCATTGTTACCATTTAAATTTACTCAAATAAAATAATAACTAAAAAAAAGCGTTTGTAAAACATGCGTTTGCTGTTATTCTAACCCCACATTTTAAGAATTATTTTCACGTACTTATAAATAAAAGTAAACAATTTTATATGTAGGACTAAGCAAGTAAATGTTATAAGAATATTTACATGTGGAATTATATATAAAAAAGTTAGTATTTTCGTAGATTTCAGTACCTAAAACCTTGATGGTTTGATCGTTTTTTGCATCTGTTTATTCGTTTTACTGCGGCGTCTTTGAAAATACTCAGGTGGCATGACATAACATTCCTATTATTTGATAAGCTTTAGATTATTCAGTTAAATGTTTGAAATTATTTGTCTTTGCGGAAAACACTATTTAAAGAATATGGGGCCCTTAATGTCTTCTATGTATATCTGTTGGTCAAAATGGGTGTCTGTTCGGGGAGTTAATCTCCTATAAAGTTAATGGTTAATGGTTATTTGGCTGTAATTTTTAGGTGTACTCTTAAGTATGTCATTTTTTGTAGTGAAATGATCGAATGCAAAGAACCTATCGAAGTCGTGAGTTACAAAATAGGAGTTTGCAAAGTTTCACCAAAGGGCAAGGATTGCATCACATTCTTCCAAAAATTAGGTTATAACGGTAAATCTAGCATTGTACTATGTAAGCCGAAAACAGGGAGGATGCATCAGATACGGGTGCATCTACAATACTTAGGTAATAACACTGAGGGAACAAACATATCACATGCGTTAATTTTATGTTTGATGTTTTAGGTTATCCAGTAGTTAATGATCCTCTATATAATCACGAAGTGTTTGGACCTTTGAAAGGAAAAGGTGGTGATCTGGGTGGGAAGACCGATGAAGAACTTGTAAGAGATTTGATCCATATCCACAACGCCGAGAACTGGTTGGGAATGGATGGAGATAGCGAGCTGTCTATGTTCAACACCAGGAAGGGAGATTTAGATGATTCTTTAGTTGGACCTCTTGTGCCTAAAGGTAACAGTATGACAATTTTATTATTTAAGTAATTACAGTAGTCAAGAAAGTGAAAAAGGTATTGTTGTTACATACAACATCTAGCTTTAACCTTCTAATTGCGCTCCGCAGTTTTGGTATTTCTCTTCTCAACAGTAGATAGCACATTCTTACTAGAGCTACACACGGTCTTCTGGCAAATCTACATTTCAACTTACGTATTTTCTTCTACCAGTCTAATACTACTTATATGTTTTCTTAAACTGAAATGCCCAGCTAGCCATCCTTCTGTTATTTTTATTAATCTTTTAATGCTTCCGATGAGTATGGTTAATTAAGCCAGTATCTTTTACGCTGCAAGTGGTTTTTTTGCCAAATTTCAATATTCTCTCATTTCTATTTCACCTGCAACCACCGACTCCTCAACGAGGATAGGTGTCTCTGGCCTCTGGCAATAACAACGGAAAGCTTCTCGTAAGTCGATCGATTTTGATCTAGCGTCTAATTTTGAGCTTTAATAAAGCTAGATAGGCTCTTTTATGATGCTTAGACATCTCTGGAGTGGTTGCTTCTGTTACTGACACTTTTGGTATTTTAGCCTTTTTCGCCACACTTCGAAATCCGTGACTTATTACTTTTAATGTTTATGTGTTCTTCCACTGTTAGTAGGAGAATATTAATCACATAAACTGGCCGCAGATGACAGAACTGCAGGGAAGTTTAGACTCTGGTTTGATTTGAATTCTGATAAGGAACCAGATGTGTAGCCTGAGCTTGTAAGATAGATAATTATTGATCGACAATAATAATAGAGTATATATTAATACAAGTGGTTAATGACCGGACTATCATGCAACAATTTGATAATGAATTGTCATTAACGGAGGCCAGGAACTGTACCTTGGTCAGTGTATTACAGTCGCCCTGAGTTAACGTATGAACGCATAGTTTGGCGGTTGTGCGGATCTTGTCATGTTGAATTTCGTCAGAGGGATCGAAAATATCCTGAAATTCTCGAATCTGTCTCTGTTCTGCTTATATACCTTACCGGTTATGTGCCTTCGGGTGTATTTATAGGGTTGTTTGATTTTCTGAGATTCATGTTTTTTCCTTATACAACAAGTCCACTTAAAAATATCTAGATTTTCGTTTATTTCCAATTCAACAATTTCCGGCTGGTTTTCACGTTGACCGTTTGACATTGACATTTCGAGAGTCATATCGCTCTCTCTATCAGAAACCGTGGAACGCCATTAATTTGACTAGAGAACTTTTTTTTGGAATGACGGCATTTTTTTTGGAATTAAACTTGCTCTGGTTTCTGTGATAAAATATACATCAAGTTCTTTTTGCACGAACAACTATTTAGCGTTACTTATTATTATTTTTTACGTTTATCATTGATTTCTTAATTTTATTAATATTTAATACATTCTTTTCCAGACCGTGTCTTGGGTGACGACGACGCCGATCCAGTATCCAGAGAACCGTCGCCCTGCGATGAAACCTGCGACAATACATCTTCACTAGCCTGCGAATCCTCCACCAACCCCCTGGCGCTGCCCTCGTTGAACTCCCGCAGCGGCGTAGACGCGAAAGTAACGGTGGCGACACAGACGGGTCACGAGGCACCCGACTTTAGTTTTAATCCGGACAAAATGACAGTCGATAAACACTGTTACGAATGCAAGGTTCGTTACAGGGACCCCAAGCCACAAGATCTAGTTATGTACTTACATGCTTGGAAATACAGGGTAAGTCGTAGTATTCTTTAGTTTTCATGGTATTACCGTAGTATTAATAGCATTTTTTGCACAACTTTCGAATATATTCTGAAATATAGTCTCATCAATCATTAGTAATTCCACTGATCCACATTACAAAAAATGTTAAACTAAATACGTATTCGATTTTATTTAGATTAAGAAATTACGTGTACTTTTAATTTAAAAAAAATGTTTCAATAAAAAATCTCATAGGAACTAATCCATCAATGTTCTAAACAAATATAAGGGTTTATTAGTACATTTTAAGTTTAATTATATGCAGGGATATAGTTTAAAACAAACAGACGAACATTAAAAAATATATATAAAAGGTCAGGTATAGAAAATATTTACAAATATGAGGAGGAGATTCGAGGAGTAAATAATGCCGAGAAACATTTTTGTAACCACTGACTCCATTCATAGCCTATTTACAAATGTTTATATAAATTGCTGTACATAATAGGTGTGGAATGTATTCAGATTTATCAGAAATCTGTTAAATATCCATAAAAAACTTCTCTTAAACAATTGTTCAGTAATAGTTGTGCCTACAACTAAAAAAAATAAAAGACACTCATGATAACCTAAATTTGAACTAGCAATTTATCCATTTACTCAGAAAAAAAAGCGCACGGCGCGCTATCTACAGTGCCAGAGGTTCTCAAACAATTATTAATTTTACCCACCGTTTTGCAGTTTCAACAGCTGTGCTTATTATTAACACGTTCTACTTAACATTAGAACAATCCATTACAAGTTTGTACACCCAGCATAAATATAAAATATTTATTACAAAGTCATTAAATAGCATAATTTGATGAAAATGTATTGGAAAGTTGAATGGTGTTTAGATCATTCTAATGCACCAACTTCCAGAATGGATGTCATTCAAACGACAGATTTTGTAAGTTTTTGTACAAAATATCGAAATATCAAAATTCCAGTGGTAACAGTAAATGTATTCAATGTTTTTGACAATTTTTTTTTAATAATAGGAGCAACATCGAAAGAGACCTTATTGTAAATATTTTAACTATCCAATATGTATCTTGGATACTACTACTATTCCTACTACTCGTCCTACTATTCTTAGTCTCATGCAGACTTCTTGTTATAATATGATAATATCCTTTCCAGGATATACAAACTACACATAAGTACCTAATTGTTCTGTTAAACTGATGATGTGATATGTGATATGGAGGCAAACCAAAATTCAATTCTACAAAAAAATCTATTATATCTTTTCAAGGAGGATGTACGTACAAATGCAAAACGTGCTTAAAGGGAAACATAATTTACTGAAAGCTTTAGAAAATAAATAATAGATAAATAGATAATAGGTTGCATAGACAATCAGATAGTTTTAAATATTTCTTCTACGCATTAACTTAAGTTACGAGGCAATAAAACTACCTGTTCTATAAGAAGTCTAATGAAACTACTCTTTAAATGATTGGGTTTTATATAAACTTACTATTACTTAATGTTTTTAAAGATTGGAACTAGGTGCTTATATTTAAGTATACAAAAAGTTTATTCAATTTCAGAATGGATTTTCACAAGCGCTTTCATCATCCATCAAATTTCTGAAACAGTTTTAGTTCCTCCAAATATTTATCTATTCCTTTTTTGAGATAAAAGGCCGTTACGGGAATATTTTTAGAAGTCCAATTAATCATCAAGGGACAAAACGCAAGGAATTCATTAATCACAGTAGTTATTAAAGATGATATTTTAAATGAGAAATTTGTAATTCGATTAGCACGATGACACATCACACGAAGTTATATTATATAATAAACAAATCAGTAATCAGTAATCAAATATTATGATTCCTATAGTTTAAGTTAAATTTTTCAACGTCAACACTTAAACCAAAAACGACTATGGAAAAGTCTTAAGTCTGCTTAAATTTTCTAAAATGCTGGACAAATAATTGCGCATAAAACACCCTCCTATCCCTTAAGGTTAAAAAATTTCAACGCACGTTCCTCATAATTTACAATGCTACAATAATTATTTTGTGCAGCGATTTTGCATCAAATTCATGTAACAAAATTTGGTCATAGATTCTTAAGACAAATTTAGAGGACCCGTATTTTTTTTGCCAACTGGCCCCCTCTTTTGGAGTTACAGCCCCCTGAAATCTGCCCCTAAGAAGTCTTTTTTATATCTCAAAACTATGTTGTACAAGAATCATTAAATTTGGTACACAGGGGTTTTATGACATGTGGAAACTCACAGTGCTACGCTTTTTGGCGAGAAACTCCCTTGAGGCCCCCCCTTGTCTTTGGAACAAGAAAAATTTGGTCGCAAATTAGATTTTTTTTAAAATTATTAGTTAGCTAGAAAGCCATTGAATTTAGAAACTTTTTTGTCTCTTGAAATTTGTTTCGTAAAACGCAATGTTTTTGAGGAAAATGGCCAGTCACGATATGCATTCGATCACATTTTAACATTTTTCTCGAAAACATTGCGTTTTACGAAAAAAGTATAAAGAGACAAAAAGTTTCTAAATTTAATGGCTTTCTAGTGGACTGACAATTTTTAAGAAATTTAAATATGCGACCAAATTTTTTTGGCTCCAAAGACAAGGGGGCCCACGAAAAATTGTCTTAATGGGGTTCCCCGCCAAAAAACGTAGCACCATCAGATTCCACATGTCATAAAACCCATGTGTACCAAATTTAGTGATTCTCGTACAACAGGGTTCTGAGATATAAAAAAAACGATTATTCTTAGGGGCGGACTTCAAGGGGTTGTAACTCCGAAAGAGGGGGCTACTTGGCAAAAATAAAAAATACGGATCCCCTAAATTTGTCTTAAGAATCTGTGACCAAATTTTGTTGCATGAATTTCGGGATACCTGTATATACCATATTTTATTCATTTATGACGCAGATCATAATTTTAAGTATTCTAATCTAGAAGGCATTGGAAATGGCTAAAATTGAAAGATTCGCAAATTAGTGATATAATAACAATATAATCTTGCTTTAAAAGTTAATTTCAAAACTCTTTCTAAAACTTGTAATAAATATGTAAAAATTTGAAATATTTGGTTCATCGTTATAGAAAATACTTTTCAAAATAATATTACCATTTGGATGATCTTCAGACATTTTCAATGTTTTGCAGATTTTCAAACTAAAACACAAAAATACTTCAGGCCTGTATAAAAAAAATAATCTGTAAATATTACTCATTGATGAAAAAGGCTGCGTAGCCAGATTTAAAAAAGTATTTTTCTTAAAAATCCCTTGTAAAAAATTACAACTAGCTATTCTCAAAATTGCTTTAAAAAATCATAGCTGAACATTGACTGGTTCAATAAGTACAATTCTAATTATTAGAAGACCACCATAATAATAAGAGAATCCAAAAATTATGAAGGGATATCCTGGTTTTTCAGAGGCCACACTGTATTTAAGGGATACTTTTATTGTCCATAGCTGTGCAAAGAGTCTGGAAATGTGTTTAAATTTACTATGGTCTTAAAAGGTCAAATTTATAACACCTTTATAATATTACTTTGCGTTGTTTCACAATGTCATTAAATTTTCCTCTTTTTTTCGCTTCATTGAATATTTAAGGGCTGGTACTTTTTGTCGAATTCCACATCACCCCGCAGAAGAGGTGGGAATACATGGCATGACATGCCGATGTAATCTCATAGCTTTGTTTACAGCCGTTGTGTTCGAATTCCTTTGATAGAAACAAATTTTTATTACGCAGCTACACGGCTTACTTATGCGGACGTACAAAAGGGAATACTCCCGAGAATTTCAAAGCTGGCACGTGGAATACGTTTACCCTCGAATAAAAATGTATACCCCTCACGGGTTTCGTTTTTAGGGAATTTATCTATACATCAGCTTATACGCAATATGTACAACAAGGGTTTACAATATACTAAGTGCAAAAAATCCGAATTCAAATTATGCGTGACGAGAGTAATTAAAGAAACAACGACAATTAAATCTTGTAGACCAGTCGTGGATTATGATTGGTTGAATTATTCCTTCGCGTATAAAGGTGACCATGCATCTCCATACTTCTATCGGATTGAGTGACGGTTCTTCATTTTCTCCTGCAACTTCGATGCTGTTGCTCTTCCTCCATTGATGACAAGATTGCTTGTCTTTGGGATAATGATCCACGCTCTGTTTTTGTATATAAAGACGCACTTACACTGCAATATGCTGTAGTTTTTTTTTGTGCTTTATTGTTTATGGGAGGTTTTCGACTTCACCTTTTTTTTTCACTTGGGCACTTGTGTTGGGCACTCTTGAGTATGTAAGAGATAAAAAGACACAAGAGTATTGTTGCTTCATCACCGCCTTGCAATACTGAACTCGAGCAACAAGTTTACGTGGGTATGATCTCCTTAGAATTCATGTATGAAAGCTCTAGAATATCGATTTTATACGTGGACTACTTGGAGGGCTTGTGTAAGGAAGATTTAAGAGCTTGTATCCCTTAGGATCTTCATCGCATAGTGGACAAAATCTGGGTAGTATAAGCTACGTGAACTATGAGAGCTAGAGGACCTAGATCACCAAGAGCTACCACTGAGGGCTCAAGACTGTCCGTCTCTGACCGGTAGCTTGAGCAGACATATAACTAGACCTCAGAAATTGTGTGGACTGAGGGTGGCAGGCATAATTATTGTTCCAAGTAGTCCCTGTTTTGTGAAACTGACTTCCATAAAGAAAGGAGGAACCTCATAACCTTTCATAAATTAACACTCCTTTCCATACCATGTTTCATTTCCTTGTTCCACATTACCGTTACTCTATTTTATATTGCTTTCTTCTGTTGAAATTTTTTTACTTAATTACTTCACGAAACCGGTTATGGAGCAAGATAAAAAGTGAAGTAAGCAAGATATTTGAAGCTAACGAAGGACTAAGGCAATAAAACCCTTTATCTTTATTTAGCTGTGTGCTACAATATGTAGTTAGAAAGGTGAACTTAAATAT